AAAAAAAAAAAAAAAAAAAAAAAAAAAGCTAGAAACACTCAGATCTGAAAGATCGAAGTGAATGAGTTTACCTGAAGCAACTAAAAAATTGTTGCTAATTTCTTTTAGATTTCAGATTATTATTTATACTGAGACGGACAAAGAAAAAACCCAAAAGATTTGGGCTTTCCATATGGGCCTTATGCTTGCCCAACTGCTACTCAGGTTGGACTACTTTCGGAAAAAAATGACGCCCTTGACTATCTCCTTACACTTTTTACAATAAAAAATAGGAGATTTTCATCTATCCTACATGATTCTAAAAATATTGCAAATATACAATCGATAAATAAATAATTACAAATCTACCTAAGATTCAGTTACTATAATCTTCAACATCCATCCCCTTTTTATGGAATTGATTAAGAGAGAGAAATAAAAAACGTGCCTAAAATAAATAACTAACTCATTTAATTCCGCGCAATTTGAATTCTTTAATTCACGCAGCTCAGGTGGTATATATTAAGTATATGTTAGTATATATTCAGTATATGTGCGCAGCTGGAATTCCTTAATTCATGCAGTTGTCATATGGTATATATTGAGTAAATGTTAGTATATATTCAGTATATATGCGCAGCTAGAATTGCTTAATTCACGCAGTTGTCAGGTAGTATATATTGCGTTTATGTTAGTATATATTCAGGATATGTTGAACTGAAGTAATGTCTTCCATCAAAAATTATATCTTCCTCTTTTTCTTAGTATAAAGTATAAACCATACATATACACAACAACAACAACAACAAAAATTAGTTTATGTTAAATATAAACTAATTTTATACATAAAAATTATGTCTCGTGATAATTTTCTTTACCGTATATCGAAAATATAGTGAATATATACCATACATATACAAAAAAAAAAAGAAAAAAATATGCTTTGTCTCGCATAAATTTCTTTATCATATACTTAAAATATACTTAATATAAACCATTCATATACACGAAAAAAAAAAAAAAAA